CTTTTCCAGAATGGGATCTTTTCCCAGAGTTCCTGGATCTTCGCCCGTTACAGGTCATAACCACTCCTGAGCCCCAGGAATGCCCTGAGCCAGGCTCTCCTCTGTCCAACCTCCTCTCCGACTTTATGAGCTGTGATTTCCTCCTGCTTTTCTCGTGGGTGACAACCCAAGCCCTCCCTACCTCGAGTATATCAACCCAGATCAACACGAGTCCTCCCTTCCTAAAATCCCCCGGGACGCTCTTCCCAAAGCTTCTCTGCTGCCCACTCCTCCCACGGCACGAAGCAGCTGGGCAGACAGAAGGGGCAGAGGGCTGCGTTGGAGGGTTTCTGCTGCAGCCAGCAGGCCGAGAGAGATGTCAGCACTGGACAACCTCTGGCCCCGCGATGCCGGCCCCCTTGAGCCGGCACATTTGAGAACTGACATTCTGGTTATGGACTTATGGACCAAGGGCAGGCTAAGTCAACTTTGCATTTTACTTCAAAAGGAAATTTAGAAGTCTAGGTTTGATGCAGTTTCAAATATTTTTTAATTTTGGAGGACAGCACTTAGATTTTTCTCACATTCCATGGTTTTCCTTTAATTCCTTCTCTCGGGTGTGTATGGCTAGGGTGTTTTAAAACCATTTTAAATCTTATAATGGAAATCATCAAGCCAATTGTCCCTGTGAATTAGCAGTTTTTAAACTTTGTAAGTCAGCAGAAACTTGTTTTCAAACAAAATTCTAGAAGATCGTGCTTATATAAAATAAAGAAAAGTTGGATTGCCGGGGGGCAAGGGAGCAGAGTGTAGAGCAGCCCCAAAAGCATTTCTGCAGAGCTTACATGCTGCAGTAAACATAGTTTAAAAACCATTGCTTTATGTCTATTTCCTTTCTCTATAAAAAAAAAAAAAAAAAAAAAAAAAAAAAAAAAAACCACTGGTTTAGGATATAACCATACTTTAGTGAATCTAAGGCACCAACTATCATAAGCCATACCACGTAGCACAAAGAAAGAAAAGCACTTCCACTGAACCTGTGGCATGCTACTGACTGAATATAAGACACAGCTCTACTTCAGAGATGTTAAAATGTGGTCCGTGTGTAGCTGGAATTGATGATTTACAGAAGTATAAATAAAAACACATATATAGCATGTTCATTTGATCACAGGGTCAACCTGAAAGTTAAGTGCAAGGGAATGAGCAGCAGTAGCTAAGTAAACGCTTCAATTCACTGAGCACTACTAAGTACTGTGTGCCAGACCGATGCCACCCGGGGCTGCCTTTGGCACTCCAGACCCTCCTCCCATTTCTTAACACTCCAATTTATTGACCACTCGCCAGGCACAGCGCTGAGTGCTGTACATGCATTACCTCCTGTGATTCTGACACAGGAGCAGGTTTAGAAGCCATTAACGTAATCTCATAAAACCCTGATGGACACTACGGTTGGAGGAAGAAGGGTTGAATGTCAGCCTCGTCAAGGAAGCAGTGACTTCTGCACAAAAGAAAAAATGTCGCCATTTTTCTCTGTTGATTAGAAAATCTGATACTGAGACCTGCCTGCATAAGGAAAACAACACCCGCAGAAAGCCCCACATAAACCCCTGAACCCTACTTGCTTTGGGCGAGGTTAATTCCTTTCATCAACCAAGCCAGGGCACTACCAGGAAGAAAGGCAACATCTCTGGTTAAGATATGATGTGTTCCCGGCTGGATGCGGTGGCTCATCCCTGCAATCCTAGCACTTTGGGAGGCTGAGGTTGGAAGATTGCTTGAGATCAGGAGTTCAAGACCACTCTCAGCAAGAGCGAGACCCCACCTCTACTAAAACTAGGAAAATTATCCAGGCATAGTGGTGCGTGCCTGTAGTCCCAGCTACTCAGGAGGCTGAGGCAGGAGGATCGCTTGAGCCCAGGAGTCTGAGGTTGCAGTGAGCTATGATGATGCCACTGCACTCTAGCCCAGGCAACAGAGTGAGGCCCTGTCTCAAAAAAAAATAAAGAAAGATATGACGTGATCCCAGGCCTAGCTTAAAATGCATATCTCCTAGAGGTGGTTCTGCCACATGCCTCACCTACTCCTTGGCTTCTCCAAGACCCAGAAATTGGAAGCTGAGGTCTTTCACCCAATAAATATGTCAGCCCTAAAAATTTTCATCTTGATTACAGTCAGCAAAAGGAAAAATAGCTGTCTGAAAATGGAATGGTTTGTCTTAAATGTAGTAAGTTTCCCATGATGGGGAGTAGGGAGAAGAAAATGGGGCTGTGTGAGAAGTTAGCGGGCACCAAAGCATTAGATGGAGTAAGTGTCCACTGTTTTCAAAATAATCAAATAAACTTCAAAGTCCTGTTCAGTGCTCTCAGCAAATCTCAAGTCCACTAAGATTTCATGCCAACCTATAGAAATCTACAGAGTGGCGCTATCAGATGGAACATGGAACTGTTCTAGGTCTGCACTATCCGACACAGGCGCCACCATCCACATACGGCTACTGTGCACTTGGACTATGGCTATGTGACCGAGGAAAGACATTTTTCATTTTACCTAATTTTAATTTTGGTTTAAACAGCCAGTGTGGCTAGTGGCTACTATATTGCACAGCACAGAGGGACTCACCCAGCCTTGTCTTGAACTTTGGATCAGAGCTGCCTCTTTGACACCAGCTTTTGGGAAGGCACAAAAGTCCAAAGCATGGGAAGACAAAAAGCCCTGCCACAAAACTGAAAGGAGACCGGGCGAGGTGGCTCATGCCTGTAATCCTAGCATTCTGGGAAGACGAGGCGGGCGGATTGCTCGAGGTTGGGAGTTCGAAACCAGCCTGAGCAAGACCCCATCTCTACTGAAAATAGAAAGAAATTAATTGACCAACTAAAAATATATATACAAAAAATTAGCCGGGCATGGTGGCGCATGCCTGTAGTCCCAGCTACTCGGGAGGCTGAGGCAGAATGATTGCTTGAGTCCAGGAGTTTGAGGTTGCTGTGAGTGAGGCTGACGCCATAGCACTCACTCTAGCCTGGTCAACAAAGTGAGACTCTGTCTCAAAAAAAAAAAAAAAAAAAAAAAAACTGCAAGGACACATCAGAATGTATGTGCCTGTACCCACCCAAGTGACAGGAGAGACCACCATGAGGGATCCACCACAGAAGGCAGCATCTGTGCCAGGTATTCTCGGCCACCTTAAGAATAAAATATAAATAACTTCATGGGCTCACTTATATGTGGAATCTAAAAAAGGCAAAATATAGGCCAGGCATGGTGGCTCATGTCTGTAATCCCAGCATTCTGGGAGGCAGGAGAATCACTTGAGGTCAGGAGTTTGAGACCAGCCTGCACAAGAGCCAGCCCCAGTCTCTACCAAAAATAGAAAAAAACTAGCTGGGCAACTAAATACAGAAAAAAAAAATTAGCTGGATGTGTTGGCACATGCCTGTAGTCCCAGCCACTCAGGAGGCTGAGGCAGGAGGATCGCTTGAGCCCAGGAGTTTGAGGTTGCTGTGAGCTAGGCTGACGCCACGGCACTCTAGCCGGGGCAACGTCTCAGTCTCAACAAAATAAATAAATAAGGCAAAATAATGGAAGCAGAGAGTAGAAGGATGGTTTCCAGGGGCTCAGGCAGAAAAAGTGGGGCAGATGGGAAGATGTTGGTTAAAGGTACAAAGTTTCAGTTAGGTCGAATAAGTTCTGGAGATCTGTTATACAGCATGGTGAGCATGGTTAATAATAATGTATTGTATACTTGAGAATTGCAAAGAGACTAGGTCTTAAATATTCTCACCACAAAAAAATAAGTGAAGTATGTGAGGTGATGGATAAGTTAATTAATTTAATTATTTCACAATGTATACATATATCAAAACACGTCTGTTGCACACTGTAAATGTATATAAGTTTTAGTTGTCAAAAAAATTTTTTAATTTTTTTAAAATAGAAATGACTTCAGGGATAACCCAAGCAACTGTGACGATGCCAGTTATTAAAATCCATCCCAAAATAGCTGATCAAATGCCAACTGCAAGATGTGGCATAATTTCCTGGTAAAGTCTCTCTGTGCTGTACAGATCATGACAGGGACAGTCTTTACTTTCTTGTTTCTCTTCCTGCAACCAACCCACAGCTGCCACTCCCTTCTTATTGTATATACTCAGCATTACTCTCCTTTTTCTCCAGCCAACCTTACTCATATCTTAAGACCAAGGGATTGCAAGACTTGGCCAGTTTGTTCAACCCATGTTCTCACTTACTCTCCCTTGAGTGAAAACACTGGATCAAAATGGTCATCGAGTTGAACTGATAAACCAGCGAGAGCCCTGGGCTGAGATGATGGAGGGCACCTCCTGGTTTCTCCTCCACCCATGATGTCCTCTGATTGGGACAGTCCCACCCATGTTCAAGCATCAGGGAAAATGCCTCTTAAATACACAAAATACAAAATTCACCAAGAGATGAGGAAACCTCATCCAGAGGAAAACTGTCATTGGAATAGTAGGGGGCTCTCCCTCTATCCATTCAGCAGTCATTGAGGGCCTCCCATATGCCAGGCACTGTGTTAGGCTCTGGAAATAGGACAGATAAAAATCTCTCTTCTATGGTACCTAAAGTAGGAAAAAGTAACAAAAGGGGTACTATTTATTGAGTTTCCACCCCATAAGAGGTCACCACTTTTCATAACACTCCTGGAAGGTAAATATTATCACCCCTATTTCATAGATACAGAAATGTTAGCTCAGATTGGCTCAAGCTTACCTCGGTCTGTGCGCTCTTTTTGTTTCTCCACACTGCCCACCTTGTGCAGTCTTTTCTTCTATTTATCCTTTCAAGGAATCCAAGCATTATTTATTTAAAGGCTCTTCCCCAACCATAAGAGATTAAGGGTGCCCAGGAGACCCGGTGAGCATGAGACTCATTGTCAAGGATCTAGGTGGAGAGGAAGAATTACCACCACCCAAAGCCAAGAAGAAAATGGGTTCTGAAAGAGATTATCTTAATCAAATACTATTTCAGAGAAAACTTACCGGCCACCACACCATACTTCGGCCGGCCAAGAAGAAGCCTCCAACGGTCCCACGATTGGTAGAAAACATAGCCTGAGGACAAAAGGGTCAAAAATTTAATAGAGAAAAATAAGAGTGGTCTTGCCAGCCTAAAGGACATTCCTCCCCCTACAGGACACCTTCTTCTACCCACTCCACTTCCTGAAATACTTTTCACATTCCTTCTTCCCGCAGAGGCTCAAACATACTGAGATGAAGGAGGCAGGGACCTGCATTTGACAAACAGGGAAAATGAGACTCAGAAGGCTTAAACACCTTGTCCTGGGCTAGCTCTGTAATTAGCTTACAGGGTGGCTTCCGGCCAGTCACTCCACCTGGATCCATTTGCTTGTCTGTTAAACAGGGGGAAATAGAGTTTTTTATGCCTTTTTCACAAGCATACAGAGGTGCCTAATAAAATATCATAGTTTTAAAAGGTACATACGGTATGTGAACTATATCTCAATAAAGCTATTACCAAAACAAAATTTTTAAATGCTCTAAGAATGCAAAGTGATTGTACTAAATATTACGTAAAAGACCGGACGTTCCAACTCTGTTCAAATCTTTCCTGTCTGCGGATGTAGGTAGGAGCTTGCTGGAATCATAGCTTTTCAATATAGTGTGACTGCAGCGCTAAGTGCAGAGGAAGGAGGGGTTCCTTCTGACTGGGGAGTCGGGAAAGGCTTCACAGAGGGGTAGCATTTCAGCAAATCTGAAGAAAGAGTGGGGTTTTATTAGAGAAAAAAGACAGGGACATTTCATAGTGCAGGAATAGCAAATCCGTGAGCCGGAGAAGGAACCGCGCCCAGTGTGGGGAAGGCAGGAATGACAAACAGTGGTTTCTGGTGAACCTGGCTGAGACGTGTGAATGGCAACAGTGGTGAGAAGTGGGCCAGAACTCAGGCTCTCGAATGCCAGGGTAAAAAGCATAGGCATTATTCCACAGGCAATAGGGAGCCCCCGAAGGTTCATGAGAGGAAAAATGGCACGTATCTTCAATTCATGACCACCAGCCCTCTCACTGCTCCCTTGGAATGTTGCCTCTCAGCCTTTAGCTTATTCCTGATCCAGCTGAGGCTCGAGCCCAGTCCTCCAGGACAAAATGGGGACGGTGCTCCTGCCCCTGGCCCCGGGCCCTCTTAGTCCTTTAGGAAGCAGGGCCCCTCGTGCATCAATCAACATAAATTTGTTGAGCGCCCCTGTGTGCCCAAGCTCAGGTCTTTATGGACTCCAAGCAGGCTCATACTCCCTCCCACAGGACATATTCTGGAAGACTCCATAGTGGTTTTCCCAGGAATAGCAAGGGAATCAACAGACCTAAGCAGCAGAGGAGGTAGCTAGGGCTGAAATAGAAATAAATCCCAAGAACTCAGGGTCTGCCAGTCGCCCAGGGAAAGGCCATTCTGAAGATCATTCTCAAGTTGAAGAAGGTTGATGTCTCCGCAGGCATGGATGGAGGGACAGGAAAAGTGAGTTTGGGGCCCAGACACAAACATTTCCCAGTTGGTCTCAGGAATGAAGAGCTTAGAGGAATATGAGGGGAGGGACGAGAGTCAGGGGCTGGAATAATTCAAGAAAGATATTGGAAATAGACAAAAGGTGAAGAGAGACGTGTCCACACCAGGACTTTCCCTCTCTAGAATGTTTGTCCCCTGATCTCGTAGGCACGACCAGACAAAATGGGAGAAGCTCCAGGATGCCAGGTCTGAGCCAGCTACCAGGAAGAACTTCTCCTCCACCAGGGCTGCCCAGACATGGGGTCACTCTAGAGAGTCTCTGCTGGAACTATTCAAGTGAAGACTGTTGCCAACTTGTCAAGAGGATTTTATCAACTGATCTACAGAAGAGACCTCAGCATAGTATGAAAAGGGTGGAAGTCAATAAACTTTAGGCTCTCGATTCATGAAAATGCATGAGGAAAGAAGGAATTCATTGCCACCAGAACACTGTCACAGCAATACAGTGGTTAAGGACCATGGAGAGAGTATTCCCAGCAAGGACAGTATCTTGGGGAGGGGAGAGGCAGACTAGCAGAAAGAGCATTGGCTTCGGCATCGTACGAGTTAGGTTCTAGTCCCAGCTCTGGTACCAACTCATCTGAATGACTTCAGGTCACTCTCTCCCACCCTCATCTATGAAACAGAAAGGTCTGGGCTCCCCCAAGGGCCATTCCAACTCAGGCAATAAATGACTTCTATCAGTTCAAATGACTGCATAAGACAGGGGTCAGCAGGTGTTTTCTGTAAAGAAAAAGAGCCTGGTGGTAAATACTTTAGGCTTCGTGGGCTACATTAGGCCTTTGCTGCAAACTCCTTGAATTTTGCTTTGTTACATTTTGTTTCCACAACCCTTTCAAAGTGGAAAAAAACATTCATAGCATGTGGGCCATATAAAAATAGGCAACGAATCCGATTTGGCCCGTGGGCGCTAGTTTAACAAACCCTGGCTTGAGGGGGGTGCAGGATAATGAAATCTTCCAGCAAGAATATGGCTGGACATCCAGCTTAAAAGGATATCACTCTCCCAGTGAACAAGTTGGAGGGTAGTGAAAGAAAAATGAAAACAAACACTGGAGAGGTAACAACCCAGAGCCCAAATGTGATTGGAAGAGGCAAAGTTGGAGGAGGGTAAAATAGAACCAAAATAAAGTTGGAAGAGACAGAGATGGGACAGAGGGACATTGGCTGGAAGAGGTGGGGGTCTTTTCTAAGCTAAGGAAGCACAATGGGCCTGGACTGTTCTCTGTGCAGCCAGAGACCATGCAGGAGTCAGAATTTCCACCCCTGAATCAAGCCACTCTTGACCCTTCAATAGTAAAAAGGGGAGAACAAATTGGAAGGAATCCAGCACGTTAAATAAGCCAGGTCCAGAGGCACTGCCTAATGGGGGAAGATTAAACGTAGACAAATACTATCAGGCTCATTAAGTAGCATTTAACAAGACAAATGATACTGATTCACAGATACTTAAAAAGTGTAAACACCATTAAAAAAAAAAAAAGTATAAACACTGACAGGACTGGCAAGGCTAACATGAGATTGGTTCAGAGAATGGAGATTATCAGGGACCGTGCAGGAAACAGGCAGTAAGGTATGGCTAGCAAGTGATGGCCTCACACCTTGGCTCCAGCACTTACATGCTGGGGTGGGTGGGGGAGGAAGGCAGGGACAGAGGCACAGTGCCTGGTACCGTGGAAAATCCAGCATTCAAGAGACTTGAGTTCCAGGAACAATTACGTCTGTTGCAATCTTAGGCAAATGACAGCCACATGAGGCTTCAATCGCCACTTCTGTAAAATGGTGATTAGCACTCATGCCCTCCCTGTCTTGTGGCTTTTGTGAAGATACACTGCCCATTTTTGCCCATTTTACTCAAAAGAACAAAAATCGTTCAGGGTCTGGATCATAACCTGGAGGGCAAATGATAATAATATTTTAAAAACTAATTCTAGAGTTGTAGATGCTCACAACCACCTTGGGAAAATAGATAAGACTGTAGCTATTTCACACTCAGTAAAAGGAGGTTGACATGGCTCAAACAACATCGCATGGCCAAAACCATGTGAAAGCCAATACTAAACTTGAGTATCCTGGCTCCTGGTTGGACACTCCACTATGTCTGGGAAGCCAAGAGCACTGAGGAAAAGTCAGCCACACTGACCCCATGTGACACTCAAAGAGGCTTTCTGCTACATCTGGTTTCTATAATTCCTTTAAAAAATTTTCTCTTACTTTTTTTTAAAAAGCTGTGTCCACAGAAGGGTTAATACCCATCCTCCCCTCCTCTAAGTCAAAAGAGCTCAACACAACCACCTGCTGGCACAGCAATCTCCTGGTTCTGTCACCCGATCCCGCCCCATGACAAAATCCCTGAGAGTGGCTGGAATATCTGTACACTTTCAAAACACCTCCCCCTGGGATCCCTGGAGCCGGGGAGATCCAGGCTGCAGACAGCTATGATCATAGCACTGCACTACACACAGCCTGGACCAAGGCAAAAACAAAACAAAAGCCCTCTTCCTCTAGTTGTTGGGCGTGCCAGAGTCTGTCATAAGTAAAATTTCCAAGTTTCAGGCTGCAGAGAACAAGTTTCTCTGGTTTAGTGTGTCCCCAGAGTCCCAAAGGAGAAAGACACACTTCCCTCTCTCCAGTGCCAGGTCACCCAGCTCTTCCTCCTCCTCCTCCTCCTCCTCCTCCTCCTCTCCTCCCTCTTCCTCTCTTCCTCCCTCCTGCCTCCTCCTCCTCCTCCCATCTTCCCCATCTCTAATTTGCTCCAGCCCCTGGGATTTGCAGGCTCAAGGGCTCGGGGTTAGCCTTTCCCAGGATGGGGACAGCAGTCAGCACCTTCCCCATGGATTGTCCCGGGGACTCTGGGGCTGGCAGAGGCTGTGGCTTTCCCGCTCTACACGATTTCTCTTGTGGGAACTGGATGACCGACAGGTAAGACATTAGGCACCTCCTTGAGGCTCATCTCCCCAGCCCTGGGGCCCTTCCTGCGCTCCAGGCTGCCCCTTCCCCGCCCCTCTCTCGCACTCTCCGCCACGCCCTCCAGCCCCTACCTTCCTTCTGTGCTCGCAGGCCCCCATCCTCCTCTGCCCTTGCGGGCAGGCTCCCCTGGGCTCCCTTCCCACTTCTGCTCACCCTCGCCTGCCCGGCTCACCTCCCACTGTGTCCCGAACTGCTCTCAAGCGCTTCAAGTCTTTTCCGCTCCCCCTGCCCGGAGACTCCAAAGCCTACGCGCCCTTGCAGCACGGAGAGGCTGTGCCGCGGCTCCTCTGTGGCCCGGCTCTGCCCTCCCGGTGGCCCCGGCCCCCAGGACCCCCACGTACCCACAGCCCGACGGCCATCACCACCACGAAGTAGATGACGATGACAGAGATGTCGGCCGCATTGCGGATGCGCTCGTGGGGCGCGAGGGGCGCGGCGGTCGTGGTGGCCGCGGGGCTCCAGGTGCTGCTGTCCATGGCGGCGACGTGTCCCTCCTGCACGCCCGGGCCACTCGTTCCTTATACGGCCTCCTGGTTAATGGTCAGCCCGGGAGGGGACCGCAACGTTGGGGCCTCGGGGCAGTAGCGCGGGCGCTCGTGCGCTGCGCTGCGCCGCACGTCGGGGAGCAGCTCCGGGCGCGCAGCGCTGAATGAGGAGCTCGCAGAACTGTCGCGTTGGAGGAGCGCTGACGGCAGGTAAGGGCTGTGCTGGGAGCGGGGAGTGGCAGGCCAGGGGGTGGTGCCCTCCTGGCACAAAGGCCCGCTGTGGCCCGGCCGCCACGCCTACCTGCCATGGGGCCACAGGGCAGAGTGGGAGTGGCTCCATCGAAGGAACAGTTCACCTGGGGCCCGGAGCCTAAAGGCTGCAGGTCACCTGCCACCTGCCCTTGGACCTGTCCCAGGCCCTTTGTAGACTGGGCTTCTCCATGTGTAAAATAGGTGTGGCAATTCTCTGAAGAGCCAGCCAAGTTCTTGGTCTCTGCATAGAACATTCTTGTAAGGACAGAAAGTTGCTGGGTGTTGCTGGAAAAAAAAAATCAGCACAATTCTAATCTCCCGGCCACAGGATGGCTACCCACACACACGTTCCTGACTCCCCTGTACAGCCTACTGCCCCCAGGAGCACTGTGTCCGTCCCCAGCTGGCCCTGGAGGCCAAGAGGAAAGCCCTGCTCTGATGCGGAGGTGCAGGGAGGAGGAAGAACCGCACAAACCCTGCCAGGACTCTGTTCTGCCTCAGGCCCTCCTTGCCCACTGCTAGACAACCATCCCCTGCCCACATTCCAGCGGCCTGAGAATTTGCACTTCGCTGCCTCAGAGAGCTGCCTCCCTCCTCCCTCATCAGCACCTGTTCTTCCCACTGAGGCTGCTGTCAGAGAATCGTCACTTGGACAGCAGCCACGCAGGTCTCCCCCATGTGCCCCACGCATCCCCGGGAATGTTAACTGTACACGGCTACATCCAGGGTCCAGCCTAATGTTCTGCCCAGAGGGAGCAGGAGCTCCTTTTCTGGGGAACCTGGCATCAGGGGTTCTCTGTTGTGGATGCCTCCCAAGACTTAGAGCTCTGCTGTCAGTTGCAGCTTGGAGCAACTGACCTTTTGTCCATGCTCGTTCATACCTGCATGCAGCGGAGCTTTTTCACTTGGCTATGTGCCAGGAAGAGTCCCTGCATTTGGGGAGCTTCTGGTCTAGTCTGGATGTGAGCCCATTCACAACAAAAACTCAGCCCCGAACCCACAGCTGCAGACAGCCAGCCCATGCCAAGTCCCAACAGTACAAGGCATAGAAAATGAAGTTTATGGAAATGAACAAACCCAAAAAGTGAGCAGAAGAGAGGACTAGAAGTCCTGAAGGACCTCACAGGAGGGACAGGGCCACCCTTTGATCTTTTTAGGAAAGCAGAACATAAATGGGCAAAGAGAGAGAAGGATGGTGACCAGGGAGAAGCCAGAAAATTCATTCATTCATTCATTCATTCATTCATTCTTGCAGCAACAGAGCAGCTTCTATGTGCCGAGTTGCATATGTTCATCCTGCATGTACAGCTATGAGCGAGACTCATGTGGCTCTTGCCCTCACAGGGCTTCCTGCCCAGTGGCAGAGACAGATCGGCATCAAAGACGAGACAAGCACCTATAAAATTACCATGGTGATAGGGGATTTGAAGGGGAAGTACCGGTGCTCCAAATGTCTAGCAAGGAATTTGACCTGGAGATGGGAGGAGGTTAGAGGAGGGTCTGGGAAAGCTCCGTTTTGAGCAGAGCCCTGAAAGAAAAGGAGGAATGGGCCAAGTAAGGTGCGAGTGAGGGACACTCCGGGAACATGCAGGCATGGGAGTAGGGGTTTCCAATATTTAGGGAGGGACCAGCCGGAGCTACAAATAAACATTTAAAAAAGCATGTCATCCATAAGAAATCCCCTACCGCGGTTGTCCTCAGGCTGCCTGAGTTCCTTTTACCATCTCTCTTCCTCCTGGGTCTCTTCAATCTTCCCCGAATGGGTGCTGTAAGGAGGACACAGTGGGATGCACCACCTGCCGACACATGGCTGGCCAGAGCTGTTGGGCCACTGCTCCCTGGTAAGATCCTTTTGGCCTCTTTCTTGGTGCCAATCAAAACCAGGGTCTGGTCACTAAAAGGGGCCTTCTAATCAGAACCCCAGAGAAAGGAGAAAGCTGGCCAGACACCTGGCCATGGGTAAGATGAGGCCAGTGAGGAAGACAGGCTTGAAAGAAAAGAGCAGCACCTCGCCACCACCTTCCCGAGTCTGCACGGGTTTACAGTCAGTTGTCAGATGAGGGTCCTAAGTTTAAAAAGCCAGATGCCCACAGAGTCACAGCCACACCTAACTATCAGAAGAAGAAGAAGTATTCAAACAACTCTGCAGTCACTAATCTCATGTCTACAAATGGCAGGGAAGAGCCAACGTTTTGGAGGGCGATGCATCATCACTGAGTGATGCCCTGTCCTCTTGGCCTCCTTCCACACTCCTCATCTGTCCAGGTCCCACCCCTCCCGCCAGCCCAGGGGCTCCTCCCCACTGAGCCCCAAATGTGCAGTGCCCTCCTCTCACTGGCTAAACTGTTTTTCTCTGCAAGGGGCCCATGGTGGAATAGGCAGCTCCTAAACTCTTGTCACACAATGAAATCAACAGCCTAGAGTTTGGGGGATTGGGGGCTGAAGAGGGGACCCACAGGGCTAGTTTGAATCTCAGCTCAGCCACCAACAAACAGTGGACCATGGACAGCTCATTTGACATCTGGGACCCTCCCTTTGAACATCTCTAATACGGCGTAGACGCCAATGGCTCTCTCAAATGACAGGTGTGAAGGGACCACATGGACAGTGAGACACCAGCAAAGGCGAGGGGCAAAGAGAGCTGCTATGGTGTTCTCTCCTTTTCCTCATTTACAAGTCCAGGTATGGAAAGTTCAGGAAAGCAGGCCACTGTTCAGTGTACAGTCATGCCTAGTGATGGGGATACATTTTGAGAAATGCATTGTTAGGCAACAATTTCATCAAGTGGTACAACTGCAGCCTTCACAATGACCTAGTGCTATCCCCATTTTATGGATGGCAACACTGAGACTCAAAAGGGTTAAGTAACTTGCCCTAGTTCCCTGGGCTGGTGAATGGCCAAGCTGCCACTCAACCCCATGTACCAAAGCCTGTATTTTAACCACTAGTGCAGAGAGGAGGAAGAGGAGGGGACAGAGCAAGGAGAAGTGAAGCATTAGTCCAGATTCCCAGGCTACTCCCAGGCCGGCCTCCTGCTGTGCCTGCCCCCCCACCTCACCCCCAGTTTGGCACTTGGCCCTGGCTGCCTGAAGGTGTGGGGCATTTCAATGAGTCATTAATTATAACACGTGCAGGCAAAAGTCAGCAGTGTTCCAGGCACCATCTTCTGCCAAACGCCTGGGTTTCCTGAAAACTCAGAGTCCAGGATGAGAGCAGATGAAACAGGAGGAGAGTTAACCATCACTAGGGGCCTGCAGAAGGCGGCGCTGAGAGCCACAGCCCAGTGTGACCATCCCCCCGCCATGGGTCCTAACTCCGTCTGCGAGATGAGTCAGAGAAGCAGCTCCTTGCAGAAGGAGGCCCAGAGGCCTGCAGGCACTGCTGAGACCCTCACCAAAGCTCTCACCTGTGAGCCGTACCCACCCATCTATCAACCTGCCACTGGGGCTGGGATTCCAGGAACACAAAAACCAGATGCAGAAGTCCTTGGGCGAGTCCATTTATGCGAGGTAGTGAGAGCAGTCAAAATAACACGGACAGAAAGTAGAACAGTGGTTGCCAGGGGCTGAGAGGACAGGAAAATGGGGAGTTATTGTTTAATGGGTACAGAGTTTCAGTTATGCAAGATGAAAAGAGTTGTGGAGGTAGATAGTGGTGATGGTTTCATAACATTGAAATATATTCAATACCACTGAACTATACACTTAAAAGTGGTTAGGATATTAAGAAAATGTGGCATATGTATATCATGTAGTACTACTCAGCCATAAAAAAAAAAAATGAACTAATACCTCTTGTATTAACCTGGATGGAACTGGAGGCCACTCTTCTAAATGAAGTATCACAAGAATGGAAAAACAAACACCACATGTACTCAGCATTAAATTGGAACTAATTGATCAACACTTATGAGCATATATGGAAATAACATTCATCAGAAATCAAGCAGGTGGGAGCAGGGAGGAGGGGATGAGTAAATTCACACCTAACAGGCATACTATCTGGGTGGGGGCCATACTTATAACTTTGACTCAAACATTACTAAAGCCATTTATGGAACCAAAACATTTGTACCCCCATAATATTCTGAAATAAAAAATATACACATAAAAATGGTTAAGATATTAAATTTAATGTTGTATATATTATATCACACTAAAAAAATAATACATTTTAATGATATGTAAATACATTACAAATAATGTGATTAAGAAAATAAAAAATCCTTGGGTGACTGAAAGACCCATGAAGGTAGGCATAGGGATGGGAAGTTATTTGACAGATACTGGTTGAGTATTTGTCCAAGCGCTAGGGGTGCAAAGTGAACAAGATGAACATAGTCCCTTCCTTTCAGAAGCTTAAAACTCATGCACATGCTTGCTTAATGGGCGGGTTGGAGAGGGCTCCTTTCTGGGTGATGGAGAGTTTCAGAACTAGAGGGACACGGTGGCTGCACAGCACTGTGAAGGTGCTAACTGCCACTGAGTTGTTATTGCATGTTATGTGGATTTCGCTCATTTCTATAAATAAATAAATGCATGCACAAAGCATTGGGCCTGGAGATAAAAAAAAAAAAAATTAAATTCCCCACCCAGATCATTTCTCCCCAACCTGTTGACCCACCTTAAAAGTTTCATGGGGGCCAGGTGTGGTGGCTGCGTGCCGTGGCTCATGCCAGTAATCCTAGCACTTTGGGAGGTCAAGGTAAGAGAATTGCTCAAGGCCAGGAGTTCAAGACCAGCCTGAGCAAGAGCGACACCCTGTCTCTACAGAAAAATAGAAAAATTAGTCTGGTGTGGTGATACGAACCTGTAGTCCCAGCTAATCGGGAGGCTGAGGCAGAGGGATCACTTTATCCCAGGAGTTTGAGGTTGCAATGAGCTATGATGAGGCCACTGTATTCCAGCCTGGATGATAGAACAAGACCCTGTTTCAAAACAAAAACAAAAAAAAAAGTTTCATGGGTTTCATTCATTTTTTTC